ATATTATAAGTCTAGCCTCATATGTATGCGTGCATGCTATGAGATTTTTTGCCCATTTTCAACCAAATCAAGACGTGTGAATTATATAGATATACTCCTCCGGTTCTTATTATAAGACCCCATTTGACTTTTTATTTGGTCCTAATTATAAGACCCCAATCCATTTTGTCTCTTATATTTATGCGTTTTTTTCCAAAATAATCTTTCTAATAATGATAGTTTTAGCCAATATACTTAATTAGCAAGGATATTTTAGAAATGACAACACTTATTTATTATAAATAATCAACTTAACTTACTTCCTTAATCTCCTCAAATAAGTCAATTGGGTCTTATAATTAGGACCGGAGGAGTACTATTTATTTTATAATGAAATTTATTATTAATATTATTGATATTTTATTTTATTTTATTGGCCGAGAATGCTTTAAAATCTACTTATTCTAATTTGATTGGACCAGTATATCCTATAAGACTAGGTACCCAAATTTTGTCCATAAAATACACATGCCCTTGTTCCTCTTACAAGGGAGCATGAATTAGACATAAAATTGACTTGTGGGGCTAGTTTTGTTGCTTTGTTTTGTTACCATCACCATCATGATTTTAATCTTTTGGGCCAATCGTTTTAACTTTCCAAACCCTAGTGACCCAACTTCCCTAAGTGATGTGGCTCAACTTGTGCATTATTAATACCATTAGATAGTGTCCAATAATAAATGTATTCGCAATCTCATATATGCCTATATATATATATAGTTATTCAAGAATTAGGATCATTTTAAAATATAAAAAATTTTACAAAAATAAAATAATAGACTTGTTTAATAAATAAAAGAATAGGCAAATTCATTTTATTTTTATATAATATTACTCCAATTCTTAATATAAAAGTTAGTTATAGATTCATTGTTGTACTAAATATAAAATCTCAATATATTTTTTTAATAACAGATCCCAATCTACTTTGTTTTCAATATTTATCTATTTTGCCTCCCAAATAATCCTTATGGTGACTAAACTTGTTAAGAGATTTTTATCAACGGTAGGAAAAGCAACACACATTCATTGTAAATAACTAATTTTATTAATATTCATAAATTGGTTATTTATATCTTATATTAAGCACCAGAGGTAGTACGTTAGCTATTTTTTCAATTATTAAGTTGAAAAAAAGGCTAAACATATTTTTTTTTCAATGGAGAAGTAGACACAATATTGCATTCCTATATTTGTCTTAAATGATTTATTAATAATAATAATATATATTTATATAATGATGCATAAAGGATTTAGAATGAGAAGTGTGTATTGTTTGGGTGAGAGGCAGAATGGGGGGTACTAAAGGCATGGTTGACACTAAACAATAAGGAACATTTGAACATAATATGGTCACCTTTGTCTTAGAAAAGAGCCAAAAACTATTCTTGCAATTTCTGAATCCCCCATCTCTATCTCTTTATGCTTCCCACTACTTGCCTTGTCTTTGGTGTCTGCACATTTCCCTGTACTGTTCTTCTGAATGCAATTATTTTTTATATTTTATTGTGAAATATTGTTGTTATGTATATATGTTGGAGATATCATAAAAGTGCATTTTCCCTTTTTAAAGCTGCACAAGTAGATGTTCCCTACTATCACTTTATGTTATCATCTCATTCACCCTTAACTTATTCCTGTGCCCTTTCTGACCCCAAAAAAAAAAAAACTTATTTCTGTGCCTATATATATATATATGTTCACTCGTATTAGAGTCTAGCATCATTAGCAAGTATATTTTAGGTAGAAATTTCACAATATTATAAGTTTTCCTGTCATCCATATGAGACTCCCAACTTAAAATTGGCTATATGCCTATTCCATTCAAACCCAATTTGAAGAGATGCTTATTTCCTCCCTCTCGGGGGTAAAGTCATTTGCTCAAGTTTCTTCATCAATTTGGTGATGAAGCTTTAATTTTGTGGCAGTTACTTAAGAGTGGTCATTTGTGTGAAGCCATCTTATTTACCATTTCCGTGTCCTTATAAAGTCTAATTGACTAATTTGAAAAGACTAATAATGTTACTAAATTACTTTAATGTGTTTATATTTATTATTTTTCGCCAAATTAAGTTACCTCACTTATAAATTGATATATAATTAGTGATATACATAAATATTTTAAAAAGATCATATAATATATGATATAATTAAGCAATTTAATAATTTTTTAAGTCCTTCCAAATTAGTCAATTGCATCTTATATCAAAGATTAGAAATAGTATTTGTATTTTTGTTGTTTTTTCATGCTCAACTAACATTTTATCAATATATTTGATTATTTTATTAAAAAAAAAGGGAAGTTGTTAATGTCCTAGACCAGACCAATGCCAAGTTTACTAGTCTATATACACTGTTGAATACATGATAAGGCAATAACCCAACAGGGCAGCATTCTATGCTTGCCACTTACTAAAATCAGACATGTGAAATGGCTTCTGTTATTTTATGAGCTGATTTTGGGCTTACCTTTCTCATTACTCTTTGTTCATGAGCAAGACCAAGCCCAAAATATTGCATGTCCTGAGCTTGATCTTTCACTCTAATCTTCCATTCGCGTAATCAAGTATAAATAATACGCATAGGCAAAAAAAAAAAAAAAGTAAATAAATAATACTCCATCCAATTCTTGCAGCCCAAAAAAAAAGGGGGGGTTAACACAGTCCCTAAAATTTGATCTCATGATTAAAATTTGATTTTATATTAATTTTGATCCATAGATTTAAAATGTAACCACTTTTGGTTACAAAAAATTTTAAGCCGAACCAAATCCAATTTTAATAATCAATACTTAAATGAAATCAAATTTTAAGCGGCTTAAACAAATTTTAAGGTCTTCAACACTCCAAGTAGAGATGATCACAAATATGCAAATGCTAGTTACTTTAAAGCTTGTTTGGATCAAGATCTTAGAGACAACCATGTTTTCTATCATTGTAAACTTTAAAGGGAAACAAGGTGCTAATACCGAAGGCGATTTGATAAAATTCGAGATCGACGATTTGGTACTAGACAACCGTAGAAGCAGTCGTGGTGGAGTCATCAGAGGCGGTGACAACCATTGGATATGTGGGTATAGCTGAAAGTTGATCAATATTCCCGCCACCATAACTGAAGTTATGGGAGTTTTTCCTTACTTTGTGTTGAAACAAGGGCTCTTGGACAATAGCTCTCTGCTCTGAATGCTGCTATTAACTTGACAACAGGTTTGTATCCTTGATCACCTCCTCCTACTTATCCAGTAGGCCGTGAACGATGATGAAGGAAGTTCCTCAGGTAGTTTTTGCTTTGATTTTGGTTTCTTGCTTGTAATGTTTTGGTTTTAAGGTAATCGTGTCCAGTTTTTATTGAAACACTCAAATTCCTCGTTAAATAAGATCTGATATGGGTTTCATTTGGTTGCTGCTCAAGTGAAACCTAATTCAAGTAATGCATGTCATACCTGGGAACCCAGTGCTATCAAAAAAATATCTCCAGAATGTGGGCAAAAACAAAAATCTCTACGAAAAAAAAAATTGCATCCTCGAAGCAAAAATTGATTGATTATAGCAGGGGAAAAGAGATTACTAACTAACAAATTTATTCTTCAAAACTTGCCTTTTTCTCACTTCTGTTCTTCTTCAATCCCAAAACATTTTTTATCTTCCCAATCAACCTCTTGAAAACTCCTTTCCTCTTTGGCTTGTCTAAAATTACTGGCGGGTTCCGTATCACAGACAAATGTTGGTCGGCGAGCGGCACAGTAGCCCCTATCCGTCGGAATTCTGCAACGAGCTGAGGATACACAAATTCCATATCCAGCTGAAACTGCCTCCGGATTTCAAACCTCGGCGGAGCCGACTCGTCACAGCCGTAAAGCCCGGCCGCCACGCGCCCGTTCACGTACGCCTCACACGCCGCCAGAATCGCATTTGCTCGCTCGCGAAAATGGTGGTCAATCAAGGGTTCGAAGTTCCTCGGAGGATTCCGAATCAAGTTGAGAGTGGTAGTACAGGTGAGAAAGAACGCTTCCTGATTGTAATACTCCGACGATTTTTCAGTCCCAAAGTATTTTCTTCCAGGCTCGTTGAAGTAGGGTTTTTCGTTGAGGACGAGACTTTGGAGAGATAGCAGCACCTGCAATAATGTCGACTGTTTCGGGTTCCACCGCTCACTCCGGCGGCCCATCCATGTGTTGAGGAGGCTCAGGCAGACGCTGCCGTCGCTGTAGAGATTCGGGTTGATCCGGTGACCGTATGAGCGGTAATGAACCTTGGGAGGTTCTTCAGGGTAAGTGGCCATGACGGCGATGTCGAAGACAAACACACCGTCATGGTAGGGTGTGCCGGCAGCACCGACGATGGCGGCACGGAGTAAATCGAAGCGGGTCTCGGAGACCCGAACGAAAATGGATTCGGGTAGATTCTCCTGGAGGATCCGCCACTCCTTACTGATCACCTTGAAGCAGGAATTCCCCGCTTTCAGCTTCGACGGAGCCGAATTATGATATAGATAGTGATGATCTGAGAAATCCGAAACGACGTCGAATTGGGGGAAGGTGTGCTTCTTGTGATCCTGCGTCATGGTTCTGGGAAAGTACAGGAAAAAACAGTAAAAGCCTGAGGGCTAAGTAAGAAGTTTAGAGATAAGAAAAAGAAAATGTGAATTGTTGTGTGGGGGACGCTGTAAGCTGTAGAACACTCCGGAACAAGTCTAATTCTGTTGAGAGAAAATATCTAATCCAATTTGGTTTCATTTTTTAAAAATGTAGAGCTCTAACTAATAATAATAATAATAATTTCCAAAAAATTTGATTGTAGACGATAATTTTTTTCCAAAAAAATAAAAGAGGACTTAAGTAATCAGTTATGTTTATCTTTTGTTTAATTGCTTTCTTAATTATTTTTTGATTGGATGAATATATCATCATGAATAATATCTCAAAATTTATGGTTGGTTTATTGTGCTAACCTTAATGCTAGTGTTTTATAATCATATCGAAAATCCTTATCTAACATGACAATATTTATGAATATATTATATTTTCAGTTCAGAAGAAAATGACATATGATAAATATTTATTATTCAAGTAGTGTTTTAGATTCTTTAATTTTCTGTCGAAAATTGTGCTGAGCTCTCTTAACTGATCAAGTCAAGTGACTATATTTCGAATGAGAGGGAATGATACCGTTTCTTCTTACACGTGATAATATAGAGATGAGTATTTGATTTTTTAGTTCGGTTCTTAGCGATAATTGAATAACTGAATGGAACAAATTTTAAACACCAAATAAAAATTGATTAACCAAAGTAACTGAAACCGAATTAACTAAAATATTTCAGCTAGGTTAACTGATTAACCGAAATATATAAATATGAAAAGCGATTTTATATTAAAAATAATAATAAAACACAATTACAACTATTAATTGATAATTTTTCATTATTCAATGTGATTTATTATAATAATATTTATTAAATATAAATATTAATATATAATATATTTATTTTGATTTTTTGGTTATAATAGAAATTTTTTTCTACTGACTGAACCAAATACTGAATTGAAGTATTAAAAAAAAGTAAAAACTAAATATGTAACTAAAAAACAAAATAATCGAATTGAAAAACCGAAATTCAATCCGGTTCGATCTGGTTTTCGGTTAAAGTTTAGTTTTGCTCATCGAGATGAGCTAGATATGATTAAAATTTATGTATTCATTATTTTTAATTGAAAAGGTTGAAAGCAAAATAATAAAAAATTGGCAGCATAACCTGTATTTAATTTTTTTTTTGGGAATTAAAGCGGCGAAATAATTAACATCAATTAGAACATCATCATTCTCCATTGTTCCCAAAAAACAGTACATCATTATTCTCCATGAAATCTTTGATTCCTGTTCAAAATAATTACGGCAGTATTTGATAACTTTAAAAAATAAAATTTAAAATTTTCATTTTGAATTGACACTAATATAATTGAGTCCATTTCAACCAAACAGGGGACATATAAAACAAAGAATTATAATCAAGTGCCACAAAAGAGAAATAATGACTAAAAGGTAATTATAATCTAAGCAGCTTGTAATGACAAGTCTTATAATGAAGGATGACAGCCTCTGAGATTTGTTTTGTAACTTTTTTTCCTTCCATGACCCTTGATTGTAAGTCTTCCCTTATAAAATTGAAGGATTTTAATTGAAAACCAAACTAACTTAACTTGAATTAACTGAGATTTTTACTTGCAACTGTTTGAATCAATATTTGACTATCTGTAAAACATTTTTTGTTTTACTTCTTCAGGACCTAACTTTTAAGATTTAAATGTCATTTTTTCCTTATTTATTTGCATTTTAGGAAAATTTTGGTCAAAGACCCTGAGGCACTCCTAATCACTTAGATTCAAATACTATAAGTCATGACCTTGTAGTTAGGTTATGAACCCAGTTCTTGGACTAACTTTTATTAGGAACACTGATCATATATTATTCTCCTATATTCGGCAAAACAATTTGAATTTTTGGCATCAATTTTAATTGCACACTGACAAAGCCCAATTTTTATACAATTTATCCTACATTAATTTAAGATTTAAATGATAATTTTGAGTTTAAATGGATTTTTATGCATTATTAGAGTAATTGGTTGATTTTTGGATTTTTCATAAAAATTGAGATTTTGGATTAAAAATATAAATATTTTTTGATTTTTTATTTTTGACTTGGAATTAATTTTTTCTATTTCTTTGGAAACAAGTCTCATATTTTTAGAAATATTATTTTTAGAAAGTTTTGCAATTTCTTGCCTAAATTTTGTGCATATTTAGTATTTAATTTTTTATTATATTTGGATATAATCTACATTAATAGATGTACTTAAATTCTTGTAGGTCAAGAAAGAACATATAGAAAATCCAATGGTGCAAGATTGTTTCTTGGGATTTAAGCATAATCCAATAGTTAATATCAAGTGGGCCAATTAATTAGTAATGGACTTGAGCTTTGGATCCACAAAATTTTTTTTTCTCCCATTAAAATATTCCCCTCATTCCATATAGTAAATTCACGCCTAAGATCACTTTCTCCTTCTCCATTCAGACACGCACGGACAAAATTCAACGTCAAATCTCCCCCTTCACTGCTATCCTTCTAGTCTCATGCCCTCTCATAATTCTTTCATTCCATTCCATGGTCACACCGCAGCATCCATTTTTATCAATTGCTCCACACGTGCTTCACCCGTAACTTGAATCATCCACCCTGCGTCACATGTCCGTGAATTGCACCAAAGAGCTTGGAGAAGGAGATACGTTAATGGCAGCTTAAGTTTATTAGGGAGACAACTTGGGAGGAGCATCGATGAGGCTTGAGCCTTGGGCTAGCACTTGAAGACTACAAAGGAGTGATGTTCCATTTATCTTTTTAATTTAAGGACTTGAAATTATTTAGTTTTAAATAATTTTAAGTTATATTTTTGTCGAGACAATTTAGTTCTAGATTGTCATTTTTATTCTTGGGTTGGATTGATATTTGGATCTTATTTGTGTGGAGATACTTGTTGGAATTGATGTTTAGAACCTTTGCATTGTTAATTGAATTTATAATTGAGTTTTCATTATAAGTTTAATTATCAATGTGGTTTGAATTGTAAAATTTTGGTTCTTTTGCCTCTTAATTGTTTAATTAAGTTGGTTAATTGTCTAATTGTTTAATTGGATAATTTCAAACATAATTTTCAAAATTAATTTGAGTTATTTTCATTGGTTTTAATAAGCTTAATTAACCAACCTTATACTGTTATGAGTTCTCTAATAGTTTAAGGGTTTTTGGAATTGAAGGTTCCCTTTGTTTCAAATAGGTGATTAATTTTATTAATTTCACTCTCTTATCACTTCCCTTTGTCTAATTAACTGATTAAGGTTATGAAGGTTAAATCCATACGAATTCTAAGTTGTTCCCTCTACCTTACCGAAGAGAACTTCTCAATTTTCACTTGTTAATTTTTTTCGCTCTTTAGTCAATTTTCTTCATTTATCATTTTAATTTTTTCCCAAAAAAATCCCTCCAAAAATTGCATCACATTCATTTAAGTTTAATTTAATTTTCATATAGATTTTAAGACATTTGCATCTTGCATTTAGAATTAGAATTTCGCATTTTAGTTTAGGTACAATTTATTGCATTTTTTTTATCACCTAAATTTTTACCTAAAGAAACCCATAAGTTGCTCTTTAGAAGTAATAATCTAGGTCAATCCTAAACTACAAATTAATTAGGACCTAGTTTAATTGAGTGCTTTAACTACAAAAAGCATCATCACACACTCATGAATTTTCCTCATGAAATTTTCTTATTGGGTTTTATATATAGAGTTCGTGATAAAATTCCTCATGAAAGTTACAGAGATGGTTTTGATGAGCAAGAAAATATATATATATATACACACACACACACATATATTGTGAGAACTGAGGTGGTGTCTCCATTTTCTGATAAAGTGAGACAGAAAAATACATTGCTTTATAACTTATGGACACTAGATATTTTGTTTGCTGGATAGAAATTACCTAAAAATTTTCCGTGAATTTAGATGTAAACATGTACCAAAATATTGCTCAATTGGATGTTATATATTTCCCTGCTATATTTAATCTTTGATTCTTTTACCCGAAATTAAAATAGAAAATTGAAACTTAAGAAAAGAGATTTATTACATGCGAGCCGCAAAATCAACCTGTGGATGCCCTTAATTATAGACATAGTACCAAACACCTAACAAAAATCCCTTCTTTCAATTCAACAACACTCATTAATTACCCTATTTTATTTAATTAATATCTAAATAAAAGCCTTCGCACTTAATTAAGCAAACCTCCCATTTTCTCCTCCTTCTATAACTTGGCGCCTCTCACAAACCAAAAAACTTCAATATTTCGATTTCCCCTTCCGGAGAAAACTAAAAACAATGCCTTCCTCTTCTTCTCCTCCTCCTTCATTGTTCATAATAAAGCCAGTTCTGTGTTCTATTGTGTTGTTCTTAGCAACATGCCCTAGTTATGTTCTTGGTACCATCGAGCTACAAGATTTAGTCATCGATTCTCCTTTATTAACCAAAAACATTCCTGCGAATCGAACCATTAAGGTCGATGATGAAGGCGATGGAGAATTCAGATCCATTCAAGCTGCCATAGATTCTATTCCTGAAGGAAATTCTCAGTGGGTCATCGTCCACGTCAGGAAAGGAGTATACAGGTAGATATACATACTTACAAAATGTGACATCTTTTTAGGGTTAATCATACAATTTATTAGGGTTTTCTAAAGTTGCATGTAATGTACCGAGAAACCGAGAAACATGTTTAGTTTTGATGATTTTGATGATTGTGATAATGCACGTACAGAGAGAAGGTAACGATACCAAAGAACAAGCCGTACATATTCTTGAGAGGAAATGGGAGAGGCAAAACTGCTATAGTTTGGTCTCAGAGTTCTGTTGATAATATAGAATCTGCAACTTTCAAAGTCGAAGCTCATAACGTCATTGTCTTTGGAGTCAGCATCAAGGTATAGACAATTCTTCTTCTTCTTCAATGATCTGTGATTGATTTTATATATATATATATATATATATATATATATGAATATATGTAATGAATGGATATTTTGCAGAACGAGGCGCCTACTGGGGTTGCTTACACGTCGCAGAACCAATCAGTGGCAGCATTTGTAGGAGCTGATAAAGTAGGGTTCTATCATTGTGCGTTCTATAGCACTCACAACACTTTGTTTGATTACAAAGGCAGACATTACTATGATGAATGCTACATCCAAGGCTCTATTGATTTCATCTTTGGCCGCGGCAGATCCCTCTTCCATGTAAGTACATTATCAATCGCTACATCAGTACTTAGGGTGTGTTTGGATGAAACCAAACCGTGGTTTGAAAAAGTGATTCTGGAGAGAATAGATTCTGTGAAGAATATATTTGTAAAAAAGTGATTCTGAGAAGTGAGAGTGTTTGGATAGTTGTTATCAGAAGCACTTTTTATATATACAAATTACTAAAAAAAAGACATAAGTTAATATGATAATTACAGAAAAAATAGATTTTATGATATATTTTAATTTGAAGGAATAAAATTGTTAATAATATATTTTTTACCAACATAATTAATAATACATAAGATAATATAATTAATAAATAATTAATGTGTATATATATTTATAAAATATAAGATTAAATATGTTTATCAAAAAATATGTTTATAAAAAAAAATAACAAGATACATATCATATAGGCTCTTACACTCTCCCTTTTTTCTCCAAAAGCAAAAAAATTTTGCTTTTTCCAAAACCATGGTTTTGACCCAAAACCATGGTTTTGGTTTTTAGAGGGGGTGTTTGGGTGATTGACACCCCAAACCATGGTTTGGGGTGTCACCCAAACACACTCTTAATATAAGATTCATTTTATAATTCAATTTTTTTGTTAAAATAGTGAATCTTATATTAAGAACCAGAGAGAGTATCTATGTATCTCTCTTCAAAATTGGATACCCATTAATAATAATGATTAATGGGAATGATGCAGAAATGTGAGATATTTGTGATAGATGACAAGAGGACGGTGATAAAGGGGTCGATCACAGCACAGAACAGAGAGTCAGAATCAGAGGAAAGTGGGTTTGTGTTTGTGAAAGGAAAGGTATATGGCATAGGAGGGGTGTACCTGGGAAGAGCCAAGGGTCCTCATTCAAGGGTCATTTTTGCTAAAGCCTATCTCTCTGCCACTATTGCTCCTGAGGGGTGGGCCCACTGGAGTTACGCTGGCTCCACTCAGTATGTCCCTTTAATTTCTCATTCCCCTCCTATTATTCTATCAGATTTTTATAGCTAATTTCACTGCAGTTTTATTAGACCTCCGCAATTTTTTTATTCATTTTATCAGTTACTTGAAATTATAGGAAGTTGATTAAAAATCATGCGAAACAATAAGGACCGATTTTAAGAAAAATACTATATGGACCTTATTACATGCAACATGTGAAGCTATAAGGACCTGATAAAAAAAAAATTACTGAAACTTGATTGAAAAATCAACCAATAAAATTATAGGGACTTGCAGATAAATTTTTCCACATAATTTATAACCTATCGTTCACATAATCATAACTACAACTAGATATTTTTTTCCTGGAGAGATGACAATTTAGAAAGTTTTTCAGATATTTGTATTCATCTTTCTAATATTAAAAATACTACAACAACAACAACAAACCTTATCCCACTAAGTTAGGTCTGCTACATAAATCACACGACGCCATCGTGTTCTGTCAACAACCCAATTCTTAGATATGTTGTTGACCAGGAGATCTCGTTCAATGACCTCATTAAGCGTTCTTTTCGGTCTTCTTCTGCCCCTTTTTATGGGACTCCATATTGTCTTATCTACCCTCCTCACCGGAGCCTCCAATGGCCTCTCTGTATATGTCCAAACCATCTTAAGCGATTTTCAATTATTTTCTCTTGGATAGGTGCCACACGACAAATATTAAAAATATTATTTGAAAAAAATAAAAAACAAAGTTGCACACTTTATCACCAAAAAAAATAAAGAAGAAGGAAGAGTTGTCCTGAACCAATGAAATATAAGGAGAAAGATATATTAAAAAAGTCGTATATATTCTACTAATTAAGGAAACCTATTAAGTTGATGATTTGACGGATAACAAATTCACATGTTACTATCACACGTAAGGACCTCAAAAAGTAGGGTCAAAATCGACGACAAGCCACAATCACAGACTTAGAAACTCTCCAGAGAGGGACCAAAAAAGGATCAACACTCTGATATTGACAAAAGACTATTATTACTATTACTCAAAGCATGACTGATATCATTATATTTTGTGGTAAATATTAATATATTATTGAAATTAATTATTGCAGGAGCTTATTCCATGGCGAGTACAAGAACTTTGGACCTGGAGCTAATACTACAAAACGAGTTAGCTGGGCCAAACAGCTTACTGAAAAAGAAGTTGAACCCTTCATATCTGTCGATTTCATTGATGGCAAGGAGTGGCTTCCTGCTCACCTATAAACCATATACATGTGTGTGTGTGGGTGTATATATATATGATCGCATGAATATATATATATCGATCTAGTTGAGAAAGTTGGCAACTAATGTAATTTGTCGTTTGAAGACTCCGATGTACGTACGTGTCTGCAAGGGGGTTTCAATTCCTTAATGATGATCTGTTTTAATTTAAACTATTCGAAGCTATGTAATTAGATAACTCTCCTAATAACTCCTCCTATAATTTATATAAAGGAACTGTTTTTGCGCTTATGTTCTAGCTTGTGTTATCCCAATTGATCTTAGATTCAGAAGGGGGTTAATATAATTGTGCCTCTTGATTATTCTTGGGCTGTTAGGTTTTCTCATATGTAAACCAGAAACTTGCCTTTTGTGTGTGTGTGTGTGTGTGTGTATCATTGATTCTTTCATATGTTGATGACTAGTTGTGTTATAATGTGATTTGTTCAAAATTGTCAAGTTTAATATTGGTTGTTGATGATCGATCTCGGTTTCTAAGATGATATTTTTTAGTTACTTACTGATATTTAGAAATAATAATTTTTGTTACATTTTATATATTAACAATTTTTGTGGCAATTTTACTTTGATTTAGGATTAACTTGCATTAATTCTCACTGTGCTTGTAAGAATCAAAATCAAATTACGCTATTTTTGGTGATTTAAATTATTAGATTAATAGATGAATAGCAAATATAAGACTTTAGCATATGGCAAAAACTCAGACTTATTTCATTGATATATGATGCGTACTTGCATCTACAAGTACCTAAGAAGCTAGCATATTGCATGGATAAGACTTGGACGTATTAGAGATTATAAGATTATAACTAAGTATTTGTAAAACTAGAAGCCACCACCGACTCCTCCGCCACCACCGGCACCACCTCCGAAGCCTCCGCCAGCTCCACCTCCTGCACCGCCGCCGCCACCAAGTCCTCCTCCTCCACCTTTGCCTCCTCCAAAGCCTCCACCTGCACCACCACCTGCACCAGCTCCTCCTCCAAGGCCACCTCCTGCACCGCCGCCACCACCAACTCCTCCTCCTACACCGCCACCATGTCCACCTCCCACACCACCACCTGCTCCACCACCTCCACCAACTCCTCCTCCCACACCACCACCATGACCACCTCCGATTCCTCCGCCTGCACCACCACCTGCTCCACCTCCCACACCGCCGCCATGACCACCTCCTATCCCACCACCTTTACCACCTCCAAAGCCTCCACCTGCGCCACCTCCAGCTCCACCACCTCCGCCAATTCCACCACCATGACCACCTCCTATCCCTCCGCCTGCACCACCACCATGTCCACCTCCAATGCCTCCACCTGCACCACCTCCAGCTCCACCGCCTCCGCCAATTCCACCACCATGACCACCTCCTATCCCTCCGCCTGCACCACCACCATGTCCACCTCCAATGCCTCCACCTGCACCACCTCCAGCTCCACCGCCTCCGCCAATTCCACCACCATGACCACCTCCTATCCCTCCGCCTGCACCACCACCTCCACCAATACCACCACCATGTCCACCTCCAACGCCTCCTCCTACTCCACCACCATGTCCTATACCTCCTCCTATGCCACCTCCTTTACCTCCTCCAAAGCCACCGCCATCACCTCCACCGATTCCTCCTCCTGCTCCGCCACCACCACCAGCACCACCTCCGAACCCACCACCCAAACCATCACCTTCTCCAAAGTTCTCCACTGACTTTTCATTTGTTAATCTTGAGCGGCATTCTGCTATTCCTATAACAAATGCCAACACCAAAGCAAGCACCCCAACATATTTATGGAATCTCCCCATTTTCACTCAAACACAGAAATATTCAAACACAATGCCTTGCTTCGCTTGTAGTGAGCAACATGCAATATGAAGTATTTATAGAGCCAAGGAAGATGATATTGCACTTAATAATCGTAGTTGGGATCTCCTTTTCACTCTGACAAACAAGGACTTTAATGGTATTTTCATCCAAACACTTGGCAACAAAAATCAAACTTGTTCAGAAGATACTTTTATTGGCCGGTGAATTCATAATTGCTTTGTCTCAACTCTCAACCACCGTAAGTACTACACTTAAGTAGCAGTACTAATATATTAACCACAAACTAGCTAGTATATAGGCAAATGTATTGCATGAATTCTATTAAAAAAAAATCCCATATTATATGTAATTTATGAATAATGTGACATAATATGTAGAGTTTATATCATACATTGATATCATTGCTGTCTCTAATTTCTTGTATCGATATATTGATATCGTATAAAATTTATGGTAATCCTTGATATATGATCTTTAATATCATAGTCATGAACAACATGTCTTATTTTTAAATTCCGTTAGGAAGAGATTTTTGTTTGTTTTGTCTGATTAATTTATATTGTTATATCCTGAATTTAAGAGCTAATAAAAAAGTTTGTTTTAGTTTGATCTCAATTCATTTTATCTATCATATTTATATTAATATTTTCTTAAAATGCTTGTCCTTATTGACTACATGTATTAAGGGATAGTTTTTCATCAAGTGAGTTAATCCAAATGCAAATGATTAAAAAGAGGCACAGTAAACAAATTAACACATTTTTTACAAATAATTATTATTTTATCCAATTTTTTTCTCTAAATTAGTTATCTATCTCTAATATTTAAGATCGGAGAGAGTGCGTAGCTAGAGCATAGAGTTGTTTTCCAATTGGCACCATCAATAATTAATGCTTTGAATTTTGAGCATAAGATCTTAAGATTTGAGGAAAATCTTGACGCAACCTTGATCATTTAATTCTTTCTACCAACTTAGTTATTTTGTTGAAGAACAGATCATGATGAGCACATTTTCATGTCGATGATGATATTAATACTTTTGCCGTGTTGACTCCTTTTTATGCTTTTAACAATCTGGAATATCAGTTTTTCCCCCAATTCTTTTTTTCTGAAATGAGTTTTCCATATGATGACCAAAAAAATAAATATTATTTGTCCTAAAAGTACATTTATTAAAAAGATAAAAATATTTATTTAGAAAAATTGATCAGAATACTAGTTTTTTAAAATATGAAAATAAAAAGGACGTTTGAGTAATTTAGCTTGTTTAATGTTCTAAATAACGACGTACCTTTTGTATAACATTCACGTTAACTTAAAAAAATTAATATAATAGTAAGTAAATGGATATATATAGTTGAAAAAAAAAACTATATACTCCTCTAGTCCTATTTATAGGACAGAGAATAAAGATATTTTTTGGTACTATTTATAGGGTACCAAGAAAATTTTTTTGTATGGATGTATAATGTTACCTTTTATTTATTATTGTATTAACTTTATTTACATAAAATATAATATATATTAAATAGGAACAAATTTGAAAAGTTGTTAAATTTTAAATGAGAATTAATAAAATTTAAATTTTTTTTTTTGTCTGTATGAAATATGTTAAAAGTGAGTTATAATTAGAATGGAGGAGTATACCCTAACTAATCTTCAAAAGGATTTTGAGTCAAATAGTTAATGCAGATGGGGTTGTTCTAAGCTTTTAATTGCGTTATAAAGTTGTCCAACTCAAGTACTGAAATTGCCAAAAAATCTAATAAGTGCGAAATTCACCGATAAATGAGGTCTATATATTTGGCATTTAACCATTTCGTAACATACTAGTCTTGTCCCACCGCCACCATGTTGGATCATTTATTACAGGCTAAACTAATCTAAGCCACATATATCTGGTAAATAGTCTGAGCTTACTTTATCCCACGAAACTTCATTTGATATCGTTTCTTCTAATCTTAGAAACTTCTCATTATTATTATTAGGCACATAGCCTCCATTGCAGCTTTGAGGTTTAATTCCTTCGCGCATGTGTGATACTAATAAGAATGTATTTATGTGTGTGTGTGTGTTTATAACTCTTTTAGTTTGATTATTTTATGAATGAAAAAAAGTAATGTTAGGTTTAACCGACACAACGTTTTTGTTTAGGGATCAAAATCAAAAGTATCATTTGGCGGCAGGCTAATATCTCTTGAGATACGGAGGGTTAAAGGCAGAGTAGTCCTCCCAATTAAGTTTTTCTAGAATTTTCTCTTTATTATTATTAGCACACACTAGCTTCGGTGCTCAATATAAGAGCTAATTAGGATTAGATTTAGTTCTAAATATATATAAGATCTCAATTTATTCTGTCTTTTAAACTTATAACTTTTTTTTAAAAAAATATTCTTATTGATTATAAGGAATTTATACTAGCGCTTATTCCGATGCACATGATTGAAGAGATTGTTTAGGAAAGTCAATAAATATTTATTACAAATAACTAACTTAACTAATTTTCTTAATCTCTTTAAATTAGTTATCTAGCATTCTAATTCTTATATTAAGGATAGGAGATAGTAGGAAGTATTATTCAAAGTCAACAATCCACCTACGTAATAAATTAAAGCTCTTAAATTCAGGACTTCCATATTTAAATATGTAATTATATGTGTTTTTTTTTGTTTATTGGTTTGAATTTAAAGAAATAAATTATATTTATTTACGACTTGTAAATGGTGCAAATATACAAATATATTGATCATATGTTGATTCAATTAAAGTTAAATAATTGGTATATTGATTGACATTATATAATGAAGTTAATTTTCAAAATGTTGATTAATAAAAATGCACAACGCCAATTACATGTACTCCTCTAATTCTATTTTCTAAGGAAGAGACAAAAATTTTTCTTATCCTATTTATAAGTCATCTTATTAAATTTTTAATATGAATGTACTATTTTTTTCTTCTTTTATTATTGTGTAGATTATTTTATTATTCTTGAAAAGTGTATACATTAAATAGTGATAGTGCTGGCAAAAAAAAAAAAAAGTAGGGATAAGGGTGGAAAAATTATTAAATTTAAATGTAAAGTTAACGAAGTTGAAAATTTTCTTAGATTTGATAAATTAGGTTGAAAGTAACTTAAAAATAGCACCAGATAAATATTTAAGTTGTGCTAAACGTATCCTTACAAATTTCTAAGATATGCAACGAGATCACTACTTGATTTGGATTGTTGAAATATGTTTAATTAGAATAAACAATATAAGCGTAATCAATACGTATTAGGCTAAATTGGATCCAGCTAGTTGAAAGAAGAAGATAAAATATATGCGGATAGGTATCACTCATTTTCAACATGAAAGAAAATCAAGATGATGGTGGACAATAGCTGGAAGGCAAGTCATGTGACGGTGCTCTCGGATAATTTGTGTCACCCTCAACAACACAAAAATAATTATAAAATTGATTTTTTTTCCAGAGAAATTTGGTGAAAACTCCCTATTTAAAAATTTAATTGGTTTTTTTTGGACGGAAAAAATTTAATTGGTTAAAAAAGCCTAAATTTGAGTGTGTGTAATTATGATTTATAACTGTAATTTTTTTTCCGCTGTATCCAACTTATCTTTCGTCATGTGCAACTGACTTTTGTATTGATGATTGTTGCACTTGCACATCATTGATGATATGTTATATAACGAAAGAAGAATTGTACTCACGGATCATGGTTGTACTTGTTCAAATTTAGATCTTTTTAGTCAATTAAGTCTTCAAATAGAGACTATTAGCCAATTTTTTCTTTTTTCTTTTTAGCATTTAAAGCACATTATTGTATTTAAATAGCAAATTTGACATAAAAATGTGATTACGCATTAAATTTCACTTTTTATTTTTATTTTTTTTAGGATTAAAATGTAAATGTATACTAAAACTTTTCACTCATGAGCGTGACACTCATAAGTTTTATAAAGTGTAAAGTTATCCTAAAAATTTAAAATGGTAGGAATTTCACCCCAACAAAACTTTTAACTGCCCAGTATTACTGAGTGAAAACTGAAAAGTTTCTGTACAAATTTGTATATATCTTAAGTTTTTTTATTTGCATCTCTCCAAATGTACCTCATGCAGTTAAATTAGTGAATTTTTTTGGACCAGCAAGTTAAATTAGTGAATTTAGAAGATTAGAATCAAGAAGAACTTACTTAATCCGTAACACCTGGCGCTATAAACAAATAAAAGCATGTGAGGTACATTTTTCCAAGAGACCTACTTTTGACATAAACATATATCTATCTATAATTTATTTGGCCTACTTTGTTAGATATTTTATTTATTACTATTCTCCTAAATATTAAAATTATTTTATAATATAATTTATACTATAAAATAGGTTTTACATTTATAATTGGATATTTTGAAGAGTATATCATACTCTTTCGGTCTTTAATGTAATACCTATTTAATTAATCTGTACACTACAAAATAGGTCTTACATTTAGGATTGGAGAAGTATATCATACTCTTTCGGTTTTTAATATAATACGTATTTAACTAATTTGATTAGATTAAAGAAGTTAGGTAATTTAGTTAATTATAAAAAATATGGCTATAAAAAATATGGCATATTTTTCTTTTAAAAACACTATAATCATCTTTCTTAATATTCTCTTTTTTTCTTCTACTTGATAATTTAGGAAAAATTAATAAATATAAGAGATATCTTATATTTAAGATCAAAATCAACTTAACATTTAGGTTTTATATTCAGGACTGGAGGAGTATTATATTTAAATATTTAAATTATATCAAGTTATTCTATATATTAGTCATTTTAATTTTTAAGTAAAATATTTTAAATTTGGTCCGCTAGTTAGTTTTGAATGAGTTTAAATTTAAAGTTTTACTCAGTCTTATTTAATTATTTGGCAAAAATATATGAAATCTACAAAGTACAAAAATAAGACTCTACCAAACACTCCCTCCAATGTTATATATAAAATATACAAATAACAGAATTACATAGATAAAAAAGTTGATTGAAATTAAAGGCAATAAATGTGTAAAAAATATATTTTATTTTATTTTTAAAAAAACTTTATTTATATATGGAGAGAGAGGGAGAGAGTGAAAAAATAGAAATAGAGAAAGGTAATTAATGCACTGATATAACATGTAATTAATGTGAGCAAAAATGAAAAAAATGGTTAAAATTTCATATATTATATTGTTTAAATGTATCTTATAAATAAAATCATGGTTAACCAAAAATTATACCTGTTCTTGTGTCCTATCCTTAATGTAGGATTTAATTAGAGAATTAATGTTGGTCTGATATGTAAGACTTATTTCATATGTTTATCGATTTTTTTCTAAATTAATCTTATTGATATTCTATCAATAACAGTAAAATAAGAGAGAGATGAAGGACATTAAGAAAGATGTTTGAGGTATTTTAAAAAAATATATCGTATTAACTAATTTAACTATATTAATTAATTTAACTAACATCTTTAATCTATTCAAATTAATTAATTTATCAGTACGAAGGACGGGAGTACCGAGTGGGTAACTTTTAAAGTCCCAGGGCGAAAGGGTAGCTCAAGCCCAATCAAGAAGAAGCACCTTTCGGCCTCCCTCATATATCTGGACCTCACCATCCATTGGCTTCCGGATCTTCCTGCCTATGCTAAGCCCTAATCCTTCGCGACTCCTCCACTCACTACCATGGAACAGACCATATCCTTCACACCATAACCTGACAATGTTGTACTGTGCACATTTTCTAAAACAAACCAATATTCATCCAAATTTTAATGTCAGATTCAACAATTTCTTAACTGACACCAACTTTGAGTGTGAATTATGGTGTTAAGTAAATACGTAATGTTGAAGTCATCACACTGTTAAGAGCAAAGAAATAATGAAGCAATTTAAAAATACTGCCAATATACCAGAACGCAGCATGCAGAAGAGTAATTCCATCAGAAATTTGTTTTAAAAATGAATTAAGAGTCAGAGATGTGACATTTCTCTTTGTAACATTGATTACAGAGAAGGATGTTAAAGCAAGTAAGCAAATATATATAATCCCACTAATATGGGACAGTGAGGTAAATTCATATTTTAATATTCTGGTTGCAATTATGCATTACTTGTGCTTTGTCAAGGTAAGTTTATTTAAGATTGTGTACTTAGCAGAATAGCTTGCCTTCTTGATCATTTTACATATGGGAAAAACACAAAATCTGAAAGCTTGATTATTAAGTGAGGACCAAGATTGGTTTTTCTTGACACCCCTGGATGAAGTGTAGATTCAAATGTCCTGGGAATCCTGTGCGGAAGCTGCACTTGACTCTACTGAAATGTTTTGAGAAGACTCTGTGAAATTAGGGTTGAAACCTATAGGACTTCCCATAGTCATCCTTTAGAATTAGAACTGATACAATGTCAAAAAGTTATCCTCCCCCTAAATGCTTAAGCTATCAAGCAAGCAAGGAGGCTAACAATGGTTTCTATATATAGCGCTAATTGCAGTTTTGCAAGAAGAAGAAAACCCCAATATAAAATTAGAGATAATAAATTTCAAAGTTCAGGACCCCCCTCACTCTTCCTTCAGTTAATGATGTGATTATGTGTCATTTTTAGTACAGCTTCTAGTAAACGCTTAGTTACACTATTTCTAGTTTTTAATATGAAAATTGGTTTGACTTTCAATTTGGTTTTAAATATAAAACCTCAATCTACTTTCTCTTTCATATTTATTTATTTTTTTAAGGTAATCCTTGTAGTAATTGTATATGTTAAAAATTTTATCAAATGGTAGTTCTAGCTAATATACATGATCAGTAAGGATATTTTAGAAAAGATGAAACCTATTTATTACAAATAATTAATTTAACTAATTTTCTTAATCTCCTTAAACTGGTCAATTGGCTCTTATATTAAGAATTGGAAGTAGTATTATATTTATTGCTAGAGTTTTGACATTTAAAAGATTGAAAGACTTGCATATCCACCCAAAGATAAAATTGGATGAAGAGTCCCTAGTTTTTTTCTCCCTCGATAATAGACGATTTTATTAATATTAGATAAAATGATACATAAAAAAAGTATCAACAACTAACATACCAAGGTAAGTGGCTGTGAAGCCCAGCAACAGAAAATAAAACAAGTGAAAAAAAAAAGTTAACCAAAAAAAATTACACATACAAACATTCAGGAAGACAGTTCAAAGCAAGTCCCTTGTGTTGCACCAACTAACAAAACTTCCTGCATGTCCACGCATAAAGGCTTCATGGATGGAGAATCCTTAGTTAAGCAGCGTGCCATACAAGACAGTCTGGGTCCTTAGAACTTGTGCTTGTCCAATAATAATGATTCCTCTTGAAGTTCCACTTTCATAGAACTTGTTCTCCATCAATGCTGGGCTGTTTCACCTCCTCCTCTTTTTTTCCCCATTCATGCGGCCCAAAGCTTTAAGCCACATGTTGTGTTTCATAAAGAACGATGTGTAAGTATTTTTATAAGTATTTTTTAAACCTGAAAATATGTCCTGATCCAGTGAGTCTCAAGACCCAACTTATCTAAATTTTTTGTTATAAAAAAAAGGGAGCCTCAACTGCAATTCACTTGGAGAGGCTTATGCATGAATCCCAATATGATATATTGCATCTGAATCAGCTAACACGAAGTTAAAGAAAAAAAGATTTTTTTTAATTAATACGGCTTTGAACAATAATTTGAGTCTAGAGGTGGTGATGATAAGCCATTTTTTTCATCAATTATTTATCTCAGCCACCATTCTTCCTGAGGCCCACTTGAACTATGCGGGGTCCACACGGTGTATATTTCCCTTTCTCGTTATCTTCCTCTGCCACTCTACTCACTTAAAAATTCTATAGAGAGGGACCAAATCAATTAACAAAAGAATTACTCAAATTATGACTAATATGAGAATATATATTAACCTATCATTGACATGGGGAATACAAACAACTTTGGACCTGTGGAGCTAATACAACTAAACGACTTAGATGGGCTGAACAGCTTACTGTAAATTAAAAAAGAAGCCGAACCCTTCATGTATCTGTCGATTTCGTTGATGGTAAGGATTGGCCTCTTGCTTGGCGATGAACTACACAACACAGAGATATGATCGCATTAAGATATAATATATATATATATTGATCTCGTTGAGAAACTTGTCCATAATGAATTTGTCGTCCGAAGATTCCAATTAATGTACGTACGTGTCTGCATGGAGGACTCGATACTAATTTATGATGATCTGTACTTTTAAACTATTTGAAACTATGTACTTAGAGTCTTAGATAATTCTCAAGCTCGTAATTCCAACACATTTATAGAAAGGCACTATATATGTTTGTGCTTTTACTAGTTTGTGTCTCAATTCTTAGTCTCATAAGGGATTTAATCGTGCCTCTGATTCTTATTATATAAGTGAGGTTTTCTTAAAGTTGATATGACTATGTTTAAACCAGAAGCTTGCCTTTATATTTCATATGCATCATGCAATATATATCAGTGATATTTCTTTCATATGCTGATGACTAATTGCGGTGTTTTGATAGCATTAATCTCACTTTGCTTGTAAAAATCAAAATAATCAAATTAGGCTACTTATTGATGATTAAATTAATTATCAGATTAATAGATGAATATAGCAAAGACGAGAGAGAGAGGGGGAGAGAGAGAGAGAGAAGAAAAAGGCTAAAGCCACACTTATTTCATTGATATACAGGATGCACGGTACTGAGCTTGCATCTGCCATTTGCATGGGTAATACTTGGAGGTATGAGAGAACATGACAAGGATTTTTATAATTAGAAGCCGCCCCGCTGTAAGAATTTCCGATGCCTTTACCGATGCCCTGTGCAGCAGAACCAGCACCTGAACCAACACCTTCTGCGGTACCTTTGACAGCAGATCCAACTCTGAACCAACGCCCTGGGCGGCATTACCGAATTCTGATCCAACACCACCAGCTGCTCTGCCAATACCTCCTCAACACCTCCGGCAGCACCTCCGGCAGCACCTCCAAACCCTCTTCCAGCACCCAATACCTCCTGCAGCAGATCCAATGCCTCCTCCAATACGTGGCATTCTGATTCCTATAACCAATGCCAGCAATAAAGCAATAAGCCCTCCAACGTATTATGATTCAATCTCCCCATTGTCACTAACTGATCAAACAAGCAAATACTCAACCACAATATTTCCTTTGCTTTGCTTCTTGTAGTGGGAAGCCAAGCAATAAATGTGAAGTATTTATAGTGCAAAGGAAGCTGATTGCATTCAATAAACTTGATTGACTTTTGCTAAGAACAAGAGCTACTCATAAGAAGGGGTGAACCCCACGAGTTAAAGAGAATAAAATGAGGCTGTTGGTGCCCACATATATATAGAAGCAAGATAGGAGAAGGAATAGAGGTTCAACTTTATGTTCCAAGTAAAGCTTAATATTATTGTAGATCCTTATGGTTTGGATCTTTAGTTTAATTTCATGTGGTTTGAAAGTAGTTTTGTGTTTCTATAGTTTTCTTCAGTTTAAAGTATTAGTTCTTATAGATTCATAATGATTTGAATATGAGTTTAATAAAATCTGATTTCAAACATTTGAGTTCATACTCTATTTCATGATTTTGAGATGGTGCAATCATTCTTAACAGGCATAACTCTTCCTCAACCGTGGGTAATCTATCTTTAATTATGTGCCAATGACTTTCATATTGAAGACTTTTGTACATAGTTGGAGATAGATTTTGGTGTATAATCTAAATTTATAAATATTTTATACCTATTTAGTTTATTTCATACACTTTTTTTAATCTAAATTTATTTTTTAGGCGAAAATTGAATTTGCATAGAAATTTTACTCATATCTGTCTTTTTTGTGCATGGAAATTAATAAATGGAGAAGGAAAGAAATAAATGGAAAAGGAGAATTAATGAAAAAGGGTGGATCAAAGGGAGTAAAGAAAGCCGTTGGCGGTTAGGCGCTCCTATAGAAGCTTCAGCCTCCACATGAAGGGGAATGAATACACACACACACACACACACACAAATATTAGCAAATTCCACATGAAAAAAACAAGAGCTTCAATTTTCAGTTATTAATAATAAAGGTTATGGGGACACTCTGAAGGTATTTAGTCACTATGTAACTAACTCTTTAGGATTGTGTTTTAAGACAGTTGAAGCTTATAGGGAAATATTAAGCGAGTGCTGGAGGAGGAAGGAAAAAAGGTGGAGAAAAGAAAGAGAGAGAAGGAACGAGGCGGACAAAAGAAGAGGTGGAAGGTGGTTGTGGAGAAAGTGGAAAAGGAAAGTAAGTGGAAGAAAAGAATCTGAAAGTTGAACGGTGCTTAAAGGTGGCATAAAAGTGTTTCGGTGGAAATTAAATTATGACTTTTAAAGTAATTTTATAATATATAAAAGAATTATCTCACTTTAAAAAGTGATTTTATTGTAAGCCAAATACCCCCAAATCTAGGAAGATGAAAGCCAGGAGAAGTCTCTGGTTGAATAGAAAACATTGGGCTTGTTTGGGAGGGTTTAAAATTTTTTCCATAAACATGTTTCACGTAAATTGAAAGAAAACTCATCTCACATATTTGTCTTATATTCTGTAAATTACTGTTAAAAAACTACTTATAAGCTGTTCCAAATAGGCCCATTGGAAGTATGGGTGGTAGCTGCCTAAACAGTGAAAGCTGAAAAAAAAAAAACGTTCGTTTGCAGCCGCTTCTCATCATTTTTAGGATGTGTTTGAATTAGCAGTATAAAAAGTTACTTTTTTTTTTAATTTAACTTAACTTTTACAAAAATAGATTAGCTAAAAATCAGGTAGTGCAATGTAATTTATGCTTGGACTGGTTTTTGTTAAAAAGTCATTTTGAGAAACCAAAACTTATTTGGATGATTAATTAAAAAAAAGGTTTAGATGTAAAATGATTGAAAAGGATATGAAATTATTAAATAGTATATATTTATATTATATATTTATAATAATAATGTTTAAGAATAATTAAAATTAAAATTATAAAAAAAAAAGTGTTATTTTGAGAATAATTAGAACTAAAATAATATATTTAAATTTAGAAAAAAAAAGAGAAAAAGCCCTCCTATTAAAAATAAATTCCGAGAAAGATCTGAATCGTAATACATGCATTCTATATGTATAATATTTGTACTTAGCATATAAAATTTATCAATTACTTCTTACCAATTAAGTTTTTAATAGAAATTTTTTCTCAACTATCCATAGATTTTATAAATATGATAGTAAATAGTAAAGAATAATAAATTTATTTTTTTAAATGGTTCATTATTTATTTAAAAAAATAATTTCTTTAATGTTAAAAACCAACTCATAAAGCATTTTCTCTCCTCCCGCACTGACATTTGTGGGCTCCACTTATTTAAACGTGCAATGAAGAAGCCGAAAGCAATAAGATGGAACTTTTGAAAAGAAAAGTTGCTTTTAAGCAAAGCCCATTTACTTTCACACCCAATCAAAACATACTCCTCCAATCTTTAATATAAGATCCATTTAATTAATTTGATTACATAAAGAAATTAGATAAGTTAGTTAATTATAAGACATGTGGACACATTTTTCCTAAAAAATATAATTATTCGGCCTGCTGATTACCTTCTCTTCCTCTTCTATTTGATTATGGTTAAAGAAGTATCCATAGGGGTAATTAGAAAAAATGAAATATGAGAATCGGTCCTATATTTAGGATCAAAATTAACTCAATAATTGGGTCCCGGAAGAGTATATTTTAAGCATGAAATACTTTTTTTAGCTTTTCGTAGTAGAGAAGTTAATTTAGGAGCCATCACTCTAATTCCAAATATACCCTTAGTAAGATAAGATGGACGCCAACATCATTTGTCCTTTTTTTTTTAAATGCTATTTTTTAAATATATTTTTTTCCTATGCAACATACGAAAAAATAATGAAATTTTTATTTTTTCTTCAAATGCCTATTGAAAGCACCAAATAAACAATATATTTTTTAAAATTTTTTTTTAAGATAAGATATAATAATATAATTATAATAATTAATAAAATTAAAAAAAAATAAAAACAAAAAATAAATGCAGATTATCTAGCTGTAGGTTGAGGACCTAACAGTACGGGTTTAAAAAACTCGTTTGCTGAAAAGATAGCCCTAACCCTTATTTTTGGCAAATTAAACTCACAAGTCCAGCTTATATTATTGGCTCTAACGGGAAGAAAAGAAAGTACCGGGAAGAAAAGAGAAAGCAGCGTAGGTAACAAAAAGCCCATTATCGTCAAATAAGCTTCTTCGCCGAAAAGGACACCGAGTAATTATTCAAACATGCATGTTGCAAGGACGAAAGATATTCTCTAGTTATGCAACCATCTAATTAACTTCACATATGATAATCACTCTTCTTTTCTCTCTCTTTTTTTTTTTTTTTAATTTTACATCTTCACATATATTTCATGCGTAGTTTAATTAGTGAAGTTAAAAGATCGGAATCAAGAACATACTGAGCCATAACACATGACACCATAAACACATTCAAGCATGCAAGGTACAATTTTCCATGAGAATTAGTCCACCTAAGAATCTCCTCTCTCCCACAACTTCATCATTTATCATAGAAGCTTAAGGTTACGTTTAGCAGCAAATTAACATGCACCAACATAACTGCTTGCTCAAATACATGTCGCTTACCCTGTTGGGTGAGCATACAGAGTGCGACAATATGATGATGGAAGTATCTAGGCATCAATATGGGATAGTGTTTGAACTTTGGGGGGGGGGGGGAACATACTAGGAGAGCTATTTCCGTTTGGATTTGACAATGCATGAATTTGGATTAGCCCTTATTATTAAATACCTAATAGTTCTTACCAAGAAGCTTTTAAGGGCTCAACGAATCAAGGGTAGTTCAAACACAATCAAGAAGAAGCATCTTTCAGCCTCCCTGATATATTGGACCTCACCATCCATTAGCCCCAGGATCTTCCTGCTCATTCCTAGCCCTAACCCTTCTTGACTCCTCCACTCACTGCTATGGAACATGTCTTGAATCAGTTCAGGGGGGAGACCTTCACCAGGACATACCATCCTTCACACAAACGAAACAGAGTTAATAATCAAGGGATAGAAATGGGACATCATTTGCAGATAGATGCATATAGATAAGAATGGAGTAATAAATTGTATTTAGCTAAAATAGCAGTATTTGAAATCTCTTTTTTGTTAATCACTTTCTATGAGAAAATGCAGAGCTTTGAAGGAACATAAGGGGAAAAAATATCTAACAAGCCTCTTTTTTCAGGGTCTACTGTATTTATTTAAGCTTAAACACACTTTTTTTGATGACTCTAGTTTATATTTATTCTGACAATGTTGTCCACATTTTCTAAACAAACCAATTTTGCGCTGTTCTCACACCATCATCCAAATTTTAATGATGAATTCAACAATTTCTTAGTTGACAACAACTTTCAGTGTGAATTATGGTGCTAAGCAAATAAATAAGGTTGAAATCATCACATTGTTAAGAGCAAAGAAATAATGAAGCAATTTAAAAATATTGCCAATATACCTGAATGTAGCATGCAGAAGTGTGAGTCCATCAGAAATTTTCTTGAATCTAGCATCAACATCAATTTCTACCCAACCATCTGGAGATGGAGCATAATGCACCATGTTTAACAAGAAATCAGCCAAAACCTGTTGCATTCTCGATTGATCACCATAAACGGCTAGTCTCTTGACTTTTTTAGAAATATTACAAATCAATTGTAAATATCTCTCTCTCAGCGATAAAGTCACTTGGCTAATCACTGCATCTATGGCATTCCCAAGAAGGAATTCCTCCTTCTCAAGCTCCAAGGACCTAACTCCCAAGAGAAAAAAATGAAAAGAAGATACTACCTTTCTCTTTATAAGATTGACATAGGAAGCTTAGAAGGAAATCAAAGCAAGTAATTGAGATAAGGTTAGCAGCAAATGTCTGCAAAGAGTAGTGTATAATTTCACTAACATGGCACAGTGAGATAAGTCGGTATTTTTATATTCTGGTCGCAATTATGCATTACATGTGCTTTGTCTGAGTTGGTACATTTAAGATTGACCACTTGAAGAATCGAAGATGTTGAATGTTGTCAGATGAAAGAAAAGCACCCACTAAAATGCTCCAGCTACCATGCAAGGAGGCTAAAGAAAAGTTTTTAGAGCTCTAATTGTCTTGCAGAATAAACCAACAATCTAAAATGTTTGTTTAGAATCTCACCTGTCCTCAATGCTTTCCAGGCCCGCATCGTGTATTATCTTGAACATCTGCTTCTCACAAGCATCAATGGCCACAAGAAACTGATTTTGATCATCAGTCAATTCTGTGTCCTTCAAAAGAGAGTTAGAAAAGCGTATTCCACTCAAAGGATTTTTTATTTCTTGACGAATGAAAGCTAATTCTTTCATCACAGCAAGGCAATTTTTCTCCATTTGCCTCTGGACGTCAAGAGACTGTTGAAGTTCAGGACTTGCAGTTTGCAAGAAGCAGAGAACCCCAATAATCTGACCATTGGGGTTAACCCTCTTATGTGCAGTCAAAAGAGCTTGCACAAAGTTTCCATGCCGATCAAGGAATGAAAGTGGGAATTTTTCTGTATCCTGTCCACCATGTGCATTGTGCAATAGAATCGAGAAGTTCGCTACGGCATTCAAACCTTTCAGTTGACAGAAATTACCAAAAACCTCTCCCACCAACAATTTCCCAATGACATCCCCACGAACCCAACCAGTAAGCTTTTCCATGGCAATGTTCCACTCTGAACAGCATGTGTTAGCATCCGACGCAAAAATGGGAGGGACTAATGGACTCGGGTTATGTACTATGGCCTTGTAGTCACCCTGTAAGTGAATAAATTTGTCCATTAGTACTTTTTGATCAGCGACATCCTGACCAATAAAGCATACCCCAGTGATTTCATTTATGGGATCCTTGGTGGAGCAAGCATTCACCGCAACAAAAACTGCCATCTTATACTTTTGTGGGCCAAAGGTCCTCATTTTTATCTCAACATTCTTATCTTCTTCACCTGTACTAATTAAAATCAAGCCATCAAAGCTATATTTTTTCTATAGACAAACAAGATATTTTAAAGCAGAATAGCAGATAGCAGGTTGCTTTCAAGCTCATGCACACAAGATTGATTGCAGCCACAAGAGAATGGCATCGGACTACGAATATTTTACCTAGCTTATCTATAAGAGGCATCGATTGCATTAGCCAATTCTTTTGGCATAGGAAACAACCAGGGGTAAAATTCAAAGTTCAGGATCCGTTCAGTGTATATTGCATGATTATTGATTAGACATGCAGAAGAGCTTGGAAACCTTATTACATTCATCCTGGGAATTTTTTCCCCTCACTCTTCAGTTGATCATGTGATTTTTTTTTTTGGCCTGAATTGATGATGTGATTAGGTGTCATTTTCAGCACAGCTTCTAGTACATGTTTAATCATTATGTATACTACTAGAGTTTTGACATTTAAAAGATTGAAAGACTTGCATGTCAATCCAATTGAAAAATAGTATGTTAGAGAGGCTACCTCTTAAAGCACGAGAAATAAGCCTATCTACACTTTCTTTGGACTCTTTATGCACAAGATCATGAGCCAATGACTTTCCCACAGCTTCCTCAACTAAGAGTCTAGTCAATTCCGCAACCTTAGCATTCCACCCTCTTATTCGTCCATCAACATCTACGGAAAATATGGGAGCAATAGCAGTTTCTATCAATCTATCGATTTCCTTTGCTGTCCAAATTAGAACATCCACACCTGTCAACTCATGATGCCGAGGCTGGGAATCTACAACAGACTTAGAGTTGCTATGCTCAACAACATTCATTGATTCTTGTAGGATAAGCTGCACAGAGCGAATTTCATTCAATTCCAAATCCTTTGAACCATCCGGTTTGATCTCTCTTGCCACACGGGATCTGAACCAGAATAGAAAATCTTCTGCTGTGATATAAGCAACAGTCATTCCACAAACTGAATCACCAAGAGAGGCAGCTCCAGGATAGCCTGCATCAGCCAGACTATCAGCACTTGTTGAATCTCCATGGAAGGTCAGCAACCACCCTATAATGTCCTTTACCTGAGACTCATTTGGGGTGACACCTAAGGGGTAGTAGTTTCCATGGTAGTACAGAGCTGCTCCATCACACTTCATAAGGTCCATAATACTTGGGGATTGAGTAACAATACCAGCGGCAGAGTCCCTAAGCAGCATGCCATACAACACAGCCTGGGTCCTTAGAACTTGTTTCTCCAGTAATACTGATTCCAATTGAAGCTCTACATTCAGTTGGTGCTCAAAGGCCTGTATTAGGAATTCACATGTGCAGCGCAAAGGGAAAGGAATGAATAGAGCAGAAGTATGATGGTAAACAACTAGGCCCCATGGCCTCATTATTGAGGTAAAATTAGTAACAATTTCTTCATCATGCCCATTTATTACAATTGCAATAGCCAATGAAGCGGTTGATCTCATATTGGCCATGTACTTGGCATGACAGTTATGTGGGGCAAGAAGGGTTGATCCAATCAAGCACAAAGGCTGCATAAGACCCTCATCCTGAATCACATGAACAGGAGTTTCATGGCGATCCACAATCATGCTAATTCGATTCTGCTTGAACATCAACTTTAAATCCTGAGGAATATCAAAAGCAAGATGATGCAAACCAATACAAGGCTCCAAGTCTGGCCTCTTACTCTCAGCAACAACCTCACTATGCTCCTCCTCATGAAATTTATAAACCATTACGCTATCATAACCGGTAAGTTCTCTGACACTTTCAGCTAGAATATCACAACAATGCTTAATACCGCCACCAGGAAATGATTTGAACCGCGAAATTGCACGCCCCGCTAGCTTCTGAGATTGCATCCACCTCGAAATGGACAGCTCAGGATCCTCTGTTCTGGCAGGCTCGAAATCAATCACAACCCCGACATCAATCCTATGCAGAATCGCATAGAAAGGCTTCTCCGAATTCCCAGAACGAACCCAAATGGGGTTCAACTGTGACAGTTCTACAGCCTCAAATGCCTTTCCAAGCTGAAGCACGCTAAATGGGGTGAAGAAATTCCGAAGGTCGGACCCAATCTCGAGGGCTTCACACTCTTCCAGACTCGGAACTGATTGTGGGGTGTCAAGGCTCAGAAAATCCCGCGCGTTTTCACTGTACCCTATAACCCGAAAAGATGGCTCGTCGACAATAATCACGAAACCAAAGGGTTGAATATAGCCATTCCTTTGGATTTTTGATGGATAGATTGTAATCTCTTGGTCGAGAAGAGAATTGGCGGAGGCTTTTGTGGAATGCGAGTAACAAACAAAAGGTTTACTGATTGAGGGTGTACCATGATGGGTTCTGCGATTGCTTGCGCCTGAAGTATGAAGTTCGGGGAATGGTTTTGATGCTCTGCTCTCTGAAGCCATTAAAGAGTCTTCTCCAAGCCACTGCTTCTTCTATATATAAGGAGCTTCAGAGCAGAGTAAGAACTGAAGTGTGACGCTGGTTGCTGGCATATCCATGACGACGCCTTCAGTGATATATATATAGACACACACAGATATATATATATATGTACGTATCTCATCCCGAGTCTCATGAAATGGATTGTCTTGGTTGGTTGGTTAGTTAGTTCCCCCCCCCCCCCCCTCCCCTCTTTTTCGGTAAAAGATAATCTCGGGAAGTGTTGTGTAAGCGTAATCTTATTAAAGAATTTCATCATTTAAAAATTATAAAAAAAATTTGAATCTATATTATCCGAATCAAATTTGTTCTCCAAATCCTATGACGCTCGTGGTTATCACGAAAATGAACTCAAAGTCTAAGAAATGAGCAATTATAAATAAAATGATATGCTAGAAATTTTATGTCAAAATATTTTTTTTCCAATCAAAATACTATATGATGCCTCGTCCAATCAAACCTAACATGATTCTCTCTTCTTTTCTTATCCCTCTTTTTTTACTCTGAATTCTATCTTTTTATATTAAAGGAACAACACTAACAACACGATATTGCACATAGAATCAAAAACCCACGAACTCACAAGCGTATGTTCCTAAGATCATAGGCTTTATTTTGAGGTCCTGTTTGGTAGAGCGGTGGAAATCTTCTATAAGCACGTTTCACGTAAGTCAATACAAAACTCTTCTCACATACTCATCCCGTATCCCGTAAATCACTATTAAAAAGCAGTTTATAAGCTATTTATAAACTGTTCTAAATAGGCCTTGAATTGTATAATTCTGGACGTGAAGTTAGTTCCTTTTGTCGTTTTTGCGAACAAAGTGGAAGGAATCAAATGGTTCTCAAATGAGACTCATACTCACAAACAAGCGAACTAGCTTCTATTTATGGGAAAAGGTTTGTATTCTCCACTGCTTCAATCCTTCACATGCGACCTAGTTAGAGTTCAGCGTCACATGATTTGTGAAAAGACAAGTAAGTATTTGTATTTTACGATGTTGCCAAAGAGGAATATGATAAAGTGCAAATGAACGAACAACTTTCACAAGGGACAATGGCCTTTTAGCTACATGGGACCAGGCCATCTATTAAAGAAGCTGGCTTTTCTTGTTGCACGGTTCAATCAGTTTCAATTGTTTCCACATATGACTAGGCTCCCTCATGAGCTAATGTAAAGAGTGTTTTGTTTTTTTGCATTGAAAAGTGAATACTACTTAACATCATGTTTTGGCTGCAGCAACTTAACGCTTCTTCCACCAAAACGTGGTGGTTTTAACCAATTTTGATGTTAGGGTCTACCTTGCTTTGTCTATTTATGATCGCCCTCTATGCAATCCTTTTCTTAGAAAGTTGATCCCTCTCTGGGACAGCAAAGGAATGAATTTGAAAACTTGGTTTTATTGAAAAAATAGGATGCACTGTTCCAACGTTGGGGAGATTATATGGGGATTCATGAACGTTTTTGTTTAAGTAGGAACCATGTTTACCACAAAATTTAATATCTTTGGAAACTTTACATCTCAAACAACAATCTGATACCGAATTATCCCTCAACAACTCTTCTAATGCACTATTAGATTATTATATTCAGCCTCATGTTAAGAGAAGCTAACTGCTGTGCTGATTTTTTGACCCACCAGGGTCATGGACCCAATTTAGATGACCATCCAAAATTTAAAATTTGTAATTAAAAAACGATAATTAAAAGATTATCTTCATCTTAGATTTTATATCCATTACAATAATTATTTAAAAAATAAAAATAAAAACGAGATTTGAATAGTCTAGAATTGATAAGCTTAAGATGCTCATCGCTGTGATAAGCACCCATGCTCATTCTATCATCAAATAGCTGTTGAAAATGTCATCATTGATATTCCTCCTGCAAAATATAGAGATTTCTTCGATTCTAGACTTATAATACTACCTCCGATCCTTAATATAAGACCTTGTTTGACTTTTATTTTGATCCTAAATATAAGACCTCAATCCACTTTATCTCTAACATTTATGTATTTTTTTCTAAGATAGTTCTTCTAACAACCGTAGTTCTAGTCAATACACTAGATTAACAAGGATATTTTAGGAAAGATAACATCTATTTATGACAAAAAACTAACTTAACTTCTTTCCTTAATCTCCCAAATTAGTCAACTAGCTCTTATAATTAAAACCGGAGGTAGTAGCTAACTAGTTTCTGCGCATTTTATGTTGCTTTTTATTCCCAAAAACAAAAGTTGATCCTTGAATTTTCAACTCTCAACTAATGTTCGGTGATGACTCCCATAGTGGGCAGAATATCGCACAACATATTAGGAATTGAGTTGTATAAAATACAACTTGTTATAAGTTTTGATATCCTATATTAATTATAATTATAAAATACAATATTAGGGAAAATTATAACTTCTCAGATCTCTATCTATCCAAACTCCCAATTCTTTTAATTTTTCAACCAAGAATAGCTTGCACACTTAACCCACACAACTGCCAAACCAAACGAGCATGGATTTCTTCAATAGTGATGGTGGAACGAACACGAGTACTAATGTACTATGATTTGTTTCTTCATTTTTCAAAGGACTACCTAACAAACACAAGTATGCCAGCTCAAATCATTTGTTTGATTATTTCCAACTTCGGGAATAAATAAATGATGCTTTCACCTGCATAAATTTAAAGTGTGGAGAACCCAGAATCATTCAAAAATTGTAATGTTCACTTAAGCGCACATATTATACAAGCTTTATGAAGAGCCGAACCTGGCAAAATTTAACTAAGAGATACCCCAACTCATCATTCCCTTTGAACCCACCAGACACAGTTCAGAATCTTCACCCCGAAAGGAGGGAAAAAAGAATATCTTTAAAAATGACTAGGAGTTATTTCTTTTTCCAGTATTTTATAAAACTCACAAAAGATGGTTTCATGGAGAGATCATACAACACTATTCTTCTAACAGTTACAAAAATTATTTGATCATTACTGGATATTGCATATGCAGGAATTCCCAGCAGATTGCTATTTTGTTGTAGCATGAACAAATAAATTTCTCATGGCCACAGAAGCCTCTCACTTTGTGTAGAGAACATCCTCCCATGGGTGGCGGTAGAGTGGTTGTTTCAGTCTCTTTTGGTCAAAGGTATGCCTGAAATTTCAATCAAGAACAATGAATGAGGGACAAAGCCTTAATCACTGTGTGATAGTAAACTCTCAGTTTCACGTAAATAGGCAGGAGATAAATTGAAATTCAGTATTCAGTTGATTCAAACAAGCCGTGCATTAGCGTTCACGTGAACATAACTAACAAAGTTTTCAGCCTAACAGCGTCTAGCCATCTCTTGTATTGCTGGTTGTCACCAAAAAGCACAAATAGCGTAACTTACCCAACAAAAGGAAGTGGGGTTGTTTAACAGATTTGAGTACATAAAGGACATAAAAGTCCAAATCTTGAAATGACGGGTTACTAGTCTCCATACCTTTAGAGCGTGGTCAAATATAACGTCATATACATCTTTGATTTTTACATCAATGATTTCACATTCATATTGGCCATTAATTTATAATCAAACTGTAATTACTTATTCCTCACGCCCAAAACAGCTTATTATTATTATTATTCCCAAAACCAACATGCACACACATGAAAAAATGGTCAGATTAAAACAATGAAGATTGAAGTTTAACTTACCCAATAAGACCAATGGAGCGAGCCAGCACAAAGAGTCCATTCAGATAGCCAATTTCCACAATTTCGTCAATCTCCTGCTTGGTGAACATCCCACTACCAGCAAGGAGATCCAAAAAGAGAGATCCGATTGCACCATCCACGTTAAGAACTAGGTTATTTGCCTTAGAGAGGGTGTAGGTTTCAACTTGAACAGCATATTCCATGTATTTCACAGAGGGAAAATGTGTGCGAGCAAATCGCTGCAGAAGCTCTACTCTCTTATCTTTGTTGTCCCTATTCTTGATCCTTTTTCACAAAGCAGAACCAAGTTTCAGCCATTTAAGCTTTTTCCAATAATAATGACAGAAACTGAATGCAAGTTAGGCAAGGAACAAAAAATGATGCATTACCTATGCCCAATTCCTGGCACACGAATGCCCTTCTTCTTCATGCCTTCCACAAACTCATAAGGTGTAAGACCCTGACATCACATAGTACAGAACATCATGTTAGAGTTTTAGGAGATCATGTTGGATAATCAAACTCGAAATGTGCCAGCTTCACTGGCCAAGACTATGAATTGTACCCTGTCATAAGCATCCTTGAAGTAACGGGCAGCATCATCAATGGCACCACCAAATCGGGGACCAATAGTAAGCAAACCTGTTTGAGAAGTTCATTACCCGTTGTGTGGAAATATTACAAAACAAATCCTGCTTGATGCATCGGATTTGTCCAAAAAAAAAAGAAGAAATATCAGATACATGTACTATACCTGATACAAGACTGGAAACAAGGTCTTTTCCAGCTCTTGCTGTCACTATTGTATTGTGAGCACCAGAGACGCATGGACCATGGTCAGCACACAACATGATGCAGATCTGACCAAGTAATACATCAGCAAGAGAGAAGCAAGAAGATGAAGTCCTTAATTTACTTTGAAAAGCAGTAACTAATTGCAAAACTCACAAGGAAGTATCATTACAATTTTGTGCACATATCAGTATCTATACAGAAAGGAGAATGGAGATTGACTTTAAAAAGTTCCAAGGAAAACGTAGTTTTGTTTAACCTACCTCAATAAATTTTGTACAGTAACGAGGAAGGCTGCGTTTGAACCACAAAAGAGAGATAACATCACCAACACCATAACCCTTTTCGACAATGGAAGACATGGGCACACCAGCATAGCATGGCTCCTCACCTTTGGAAAATATTGGATACGAAATTTAGTTAAACCTTTGAGTCTGAGTAACAAACAACTCATTTCAAAGTTAAAGCATTAAGGAA